ACAAACAGAAAGTCGAAACAGATCTGAATGTAACAAGTGCATTAACACCTGTACTCAAATACTGTGCTAAAGACACAAGCTGGTAACCAGCAAATCTGCATTCAGTTCAGTGTTTTCCTGGAGTCTATTATAAAGCTAATCCAGATCCATTTACTGAATAATTAGAATGAAGCAGTGAATGGTCATTCACAGAGTATCCCTTCAGGGGACAAACCTCCTAACACCCACAAAGGGGCTTTGAAGTGCTTGTTCTCCTGTTGCTTCCATCTTGGGAGATGTGCAAGAGAAGAATGACAGCTGATCGACTAAGAGCTGCACAGTGTTGCAACTCGCCTAGCCTCCCCACCATCCACAAAGCCAAACTTCACAGGATAACTCATAACATCTAATTGTCTCTTGACTCCCTTCCTGGTCAGATCAGACTTTAAAAAGTCTCTTTAATATGTGTCAAGCAAAGATAGTATCTCCTCTTGGAAAAGCAAAAGGCTGAAGCTTGTAATGAAAAAGGAGTATTCATGGGTCACAGGCAGGGGAAAGCCACAGCACTGAAGGGGAGTGCAATGATTTTATAAATATTTATGAGGAGCAGATACTCTACAGGCTAACGTCTATATTAGTAAATGAGAAGGGTGAAAGAACAGTTCACTGTCAGTTTAAATCAAGAGAACTGTGCCAGTTAGCACTCTCACAGACAGTATCTTCCATTCTCAGAGTTCAGTACGGGCTAAGGACCATTTCAGGTAGGCAGACTAGATGCAGACACTCTGTTTCAGGGGAAATATAAGCTAAGCTATACAAAGGCAAACTGAGCTGTGCCAGTTGGCATCAGGCAGGTAAGCAAACCTTGGCTCAGTACATTTTATTTATTTAATATAGACATTGCTCAAATCTGGGTCAAGTGACACATTCTCCAGCTGAAGCACAGCGCAGTTCTCCCTTACCTTACAATCCGATGCTTAACAGAAGTGCATGAGATATACCACTGTTTTCACAATAGCCAAATGTAAGTACTAGTTGCACAGGTGTATTCTTGACACAAGATCAGACTGGTGTGCTAGCACTAGCAGCAGCAAGATGTTAGGTAGCTGCTGTAATCAAGAGGCCCCCATGCCCTCTGACTGACAAATAAGCAGGATGAAGAGACCGTCAGACCATTCCTACTCCTTTTTAGGTACTATTTCTGCTAAGGCCTTCTTACTCTTTCCAATGTAATGGCATCTTACCATCTCCTCCGTTATTCAGAGTTAAAACAAGATTCCTTACAAATCTTTACACTAAATCCCTCAAAGACATTGAGACTAAACATTTACTTTTATGAACAGATGTTTCTTCAGCAGTATGACTTGTGCCACAATATATAAGTTAACATCTCCAGTTTTCCCACCGCTAACAACAGTTTTAGAATACTTTCCACAGTATCTCATGAATAATTTTCCAGGAAAGAAACACGTGACATGTGCTGTGATTGCTGACCAGTAGAGGGAGGTGGGATACTATAATCAAAAATCCAACAACAGAATCTTTCAAAGGATGCCATTAGAATGTATTGCAGATAAATTTTTAGTTCTTCCAATAATTGCTACTAGCTTATATTAAAGGAGGCAAAAAGTGAGCTCTTGTATGCTCCTTTTTAGCTCTAGCATTATTAAAAACCTGGATTCAAATCAAACCTGGAAAACTCTTTCAAGGTACCAGGCATGGGGTTTTTTTAGTTTAGTTTTGGTTTTTTAAGAACTAGTATAAACACTGTTGTAGGTAGGAAACAGATCCAGGAAAAACAAATATCACAGATGCTGAATGTTTCACAAAGCTGCATACTATGTTTTCAAAGTAAGAACTCTATACATAAAGTGCTGAAGTACTGGAAAACAAATGATTTATATGTTTAAACTTAAAACATAAAAAACATTTTATAAGCTTTTGTTAGACTACCCTTATTAGGTACATTCTCCACCACATACTACTTCAGCTGTTAAAAAAAAAGATGTTCTATTTTTATATTCCAGACATGTATGTGCACCAGCCACACTGATGAAGTTGAAGAAATATAATGTGTTCTGAAGGTACATAAGGTAGAACATTAATACAAGGTGCCAGGTAAAGAACTACAAATGGAAATACTGTAGAAAGGTTTTTGGAAGACCTATTAGCAGTGTAGCCCAGGATGAACACTCAGATCAACCTGTTAAATATTCTCTTAAACAACAGTGTAATTCACTGGCTTTGCTAAACCTAGAAGTTGGAAGACAGTGCCAATGCTGGAAGAGGACTACTGCTTTACAATAATTTTATGACTGTATAAATTAAAGAGCAATGCAACTGGGAATAAATGTAATGGTGGAAAGTCCAAAAAATGCAGTTTGGAGAAAAAAAAACCTCAACTTCCTCACTAGTAATCCAGGTTCAAAATATTGTCCACAGTTGTCATATATTAGAATCTGAATGAGTAACTACAGACACCCCTTCTACCACCACTGCTTTCAAATACCTGGAGAACCAGACTAAGAATATGATCCCATGATCATAAACCAAGGTATGCCTTGTTTTTCTTCAATTGTAACCCATGACCATCATTATGGATCCCAAATAAGACAGGGATTTTGGTGAAGTGTTGGTGAAAGTTTTTCCATCACCATTAAGTTACCTGGCAATTCCTTAATGGTGAAAATTCACAAGGTTCACTCACCCACACTCTGCTTCTCCAAGTATTACTTCACACTGGTTTACCAACTGGAGATGAAACTCTTAGCTTCTTTACATTAATAGCATTATCTCAACACAGCAATGAAAACTGGTATCTGGCATGATTTTATGTAATTCATCAAGAGATCTGGGGAATCCAAAAGGAATGGGTGAACTGTCCCAATGGCCCCAAGATTAACTGGTTCATGGAATAAAGAAAATTCATCTTTCCAACTGCAGCAGTGACCAAGCTCAAGCCTTTGACCCAGGTGACCACTGACAGCTGAGAGAACTCAACAGGTTATAGGTCATGCCAACAAGCTGCAGGTACTAATTCCCAACAGATTATCTCATAATACAAGAATAAATGTCCCCTAGAATTAAAAGGAAGCTAAAAGTCTTTTAGAAGGGCTGAAAGCGTCAGTGAAGACTACCATCCCAAATTTGATTTTAGTCCAAAGTTGACAACCATTCTCTCTTAGGAGCAGAAGAAAGGAAAAGCTGCAGTACTTCTCTTCCCCTCTGAGATGGTGGAAAAGTCACCACAATCATGCCCCCAAAGAAGCAAGCTTCTGAGAGACAGAGAAAGACATCTCTGAAAAGGAATGTGGCAAACAGTATTCATTAGTATTATTTCTAAATTTAACAGGTACTCTTCATTAGAGTTTACAGTGCTTGCACAATCAGAGTCCATGTGACTGGTGAAATTCAAGAACAGATGCAGTTGAAAGACTACATCACAACAGTCAAGAAGTGCAAAGAAAATCAACAAGGTGAACATTTAAACTCTGTAGGAGTGATGTCTATGCTTGAAAACTCTTTCTCTAAGACTACATGCCACCTTTTTCCATCATCACAATTGGGTGTCTTTACACTCCAAAATACTGCATCCAGTAAAGCACATGGAATAACCCTAGGGAATTGAAAGTGACTGTTCCATTGATAACAAGGTGCTTAAGGATAAAGAGTTTCCAGTAGAAGCCTGGCTTTCTGGGTATAGGAGGAAATAATCTGACATGAGACACTGGTGACCAACTGTTAAGTTCAGCAGTGCCTTCTTGGCTACCAGATCAGTTAGCAGCAGGAGATCCTCTGGCACACCAGTAATCTTAAACCATAGCCCTGCTCAAATTTTAACATTAGTACTGGATAGGATACTTACCTTTAAGGACTCCAGCCAAGTTATCAGAAGCAACACACGGAAGCTTTAGTGTGCTCAGAGTCTAAGTCAAGAGATGAAGGAAACTCCCTCACTAGTGAGATACCTGGATAATTGGGAAAGTCCAGTACTGAGCAGTACTGAAGTTCCAGTGCTTTGAGTAATGCTGCAGAACTCAAGAAGGATGTTGTTGGTCATTGTACAATCAGATTAAATATGCGTGCAGTGCTCTTGATCCACTCCTTTCCTTTGCCTTGTTGTGCAGTGTAGGCTTTCCAACTTTTACATCATAGCACTCAATCTAACATTATATATGATTATCTGATACACAAGATGGTTCTGTGAACATTTTGGAAATAAGTATCTGTTATATGATTGCTTCTGACTGGAAAGCTGAAGTCTGAGCAGTACATTCCAAAATTACTTAATGGGCTTAGTTAACCCAGAATAGGAGGATCTTTAAAAGGACAAACATATCGAAACCAAAAAAAAAAAACCCAAAACACCCAAAAGCAAGCCAAACAACACCAATTGCAAAATCCAGGAAACAAAAAGAAAGCCACAGCTTTCTACCACACTGCAGAACAGATTAGTCTGTTTCTATAGCAGGCAGCTAATGCCTTCTTTTGGCAAACAAACTCTTCAGACAGAGCCAAGAGCCTAGCAGATGATTTACTGATTAAAAGCAAAATAAGAACCCGAAAACAAAAATTTTCTGGAGAATGTAGTAATTTGCATAATTAAGCCATCCATTTTAGTCCTAAATTATCTTACCAATATAGTGGGAATAGGCTCAAAACACCTGGATACTCTTTAGCTATTGCACAGGGATCTTTATGTAAAATGTCTTTATTTAAGTTCTGATTAGCCATGAAGAAGCCAATAGAAGTTTGGGCTCATCTGAAAGTTTTTTAGATAGTGATTTCAACTGCAAAACAAATTATATCCATTCTTTCCATTCTGCTAGGAAGTCCTCTTCCAGCACCTCCTCTAGTAAAACATGAAAGATACAGTTGAAACAATATGGTTTTGTATAGTCAAAGCAAAACATTATGGGAGAATTTCTCTTCAAGACATCAAATTTAATTTAACGCTCAGGAAACACTCATTTAAAGAAAATTAACTGCAAGCAAAGGCAGACTGAAAGGAGAATACTCACTTGTAGCGTAGTGTCGAAAACAACAAGCTTAGAGCTTGTTGGAACAATGTCATAACACTTGTGTGACCTCATGAATCTCACATAAATGTCACTTTCCGATTCTTCAAGTGCTGTAAGTAAAAACATTATGTTGTTTTATTTAAGTAACCTTTAAAAAAGTAAAAAACATGCCATATCAAAACTGAACACCACTGCAGAAGGACAACCCTAAAGCAAAACTCAAATTCACACTTTCAGATCTGGACAGTTACAGTGCTGCATCTTGCATTTCAGACTCATCTTTCAAATTAAATAGAACAACGACAAAATGCATTGTTCTTCCTTGATGAGAAAGGACCTCCATACTGAAGAGTTATATTTTTTTAAAAATATCTTTTTCTAACAGCAAATTCTTGGAATATGCATCTGAACTCCAGTTATTTAGGCTTGACCAACTCAAGCTCCTTCTTAAATTAATATTTCTCAAAACTCATGTCTGTCCAGTCCACTTTTCTCATAATAATTTTGTATTTTCTAAAGCAGCAGCAGGCAAGTTATACAATCAGTTCCGTTCTCTTGAAGCTACTTCACATACAGCATCACAAATCCAACACTTTATTTATAAAAACAGTGTTAGTATCCACTTGGTTGGAATAGCCTCAGTGTGGCATGTCTGTAGCGAGGACATGCAATCCAGTCCATATTAACTTAAATCTACTTTGCATTTGTAAGAGTTTAAACACATATCCATTAGTTCTTCAGGTCTGCTCAGGTTAACTTTTTTTTTTTTAAGCAGTTTGTCCCTCCATTCTTTACAGCAGGTACCTAGAACTTAGTCAAGGTTAACCCCTCCATCAGATATGCACCTTTTAGACCCTGTAATAATGTACAGAAACTTAATCAGACATTAAACTTCTGAAGAGTACGGACAAAAAGAGAAAAACCGGGAAAACTTTGAAATACCTAGTGATCACTGAAGAACTTCATGAAGCTAAAAACCTCAAAATCCATGTTCACTAGATTTGCTCAAAATCAATCATCTAGCACTGGACAAATTCTTTGTCACTTCCACAGTGGAACAGCACAGCTTCTTTAGTCTGAATCCACAGAATCAAAGCTGGACCTCCCCTTCAAGAGGCCACTCTAGGATACAGGCAGTCTCTTCTACATACTAAGCAACTCCTCCATCTCCAACTCTTGCTCCTCTAAAGAAAAAAAAACAATAAATTGCTGGATTTATGTTCCTTCAAAGGCCAGGACCAGAAGTGAAAATAGCAGGAGCTAAGAAAAATTGGTAAGACATTAGAAAACCATATGAGCAAACTGATGGGCAAAGGACTAGGCAGACAGACTTGGACAATGATGGTAGGAATTAACCTTTAGGAGATGATCCCAAAGGGGAACTAGAACTGACTCATCAAGGGCATGTATAGAAGAGGTGAAAAAGGTGACAGAGAAACCTTTATATAACTCCATAATATACTAGCATCTTATCCTCTAACCTCCGCAATAGCATAAACATCTACTCTCTGTACAAGATTAATTTAATGACCCTGCGATTACAGTGAGCTGTTGGGGGGTGGTGGTGGTGTTTATTGGGTTGTTTTGTTGTTGTTTTTTAAAACATACAAAATAGAAGGGGCAGGGCAATGAGACACTAAGTATCAAGAACAATACTACAAGAAAATTTAGATGACATACCAAGAATTCTGGTCTTTAGGAAGTTAAGGTTGCTTCTACAATCACAAATCACAGCCGCTTTGTGCAATATCAGAGTCCTCATTTATTTTAATCTCTTCTTTTTCCATGGGACAGCACATAAGAACTGCATTTCAAATGGTAAGACAATTCACCAGTAAATAAGACTGGCTACTAACATGATGAGTAGCTATTAGAGAGATACTGCACTGTCATGTCTTTCCCCAGCACTACAAAAACTACCACAGTCAACCTATGGAACAGGAAAAAAATAAATTCTCCCAATTTTACCTCCTGCCTCTTTCACTAGAAACATTCCAATTGCTGCAGCAAGCAAGACAGTGGTCCAACAGTTCTAAACCACCGGCAGACCAAGTCCATTCCCCATGCTGACTGAAACAGAGGTTCTCCAAAACCTTCACCAAGTACCCAGAAACTACTACAAGCATGTGCACCCAAGGAAGTTACTATTCTAAGTCTGAATCTGTACTTCCTATTGAATATGTAGCATTGTGACTTTACATACAATTAAATATACTACAGGTAGAAACAAGCATAGAACACCTCAAACAGTTGATAAGCTACAAAACAACCAACTATTTTTAGCTGAGAAAAAATTTACACTCTTAGAGCACATCACTGCTCAATACAGTCTTACCAACTTACATAATTGTTGGTATCACTACAGCAAGCACAGCAACTGTGAAGCAGGACATGTTGCCAAGTTTAATCAGGTAAGGCTGTTACTAGCAGCCACTCTGTATTGACCAGCACACTATAGGTGTGCCTATAAACCTTCCTCTCACCATATACTCTCACTCTCCAAACAATCCTCACCCACTTAGGGTACATGGGATAAGTTAGGTGCTAGCTCACCCTACACTGACTTCCAACTCAGAAGAGGCACCACAAAAGCAGCTGCTTCCCAAATGGACACTGGAAAGTTACAATTAGCTATTTCATGCTTCCGAATATTTTTATCTGTGAACACCATTTAACACCCATATAAATAGCTAATTCAGATCTTGCTAGAGTTTCCAAGGATCCAATTGTCTAGCTTGAACTGAGGCTTATTTCTCCTGCACTATAAATAAGTATAATGCACTGCTTTATTAATTACTAACTAAACACGCAAAACATAAGCAGCACTGATTGAACTCTTATGTCCTACATGACTTCATCAAGCATCTGTGGGAAAGGATATTTAAGACCTTCTAACACCTTCAAATACTTGGGATTACTAAACAGATGCTGTATCCTAATTCATGGCACAGCTATTGCATGCGCATTATGTATATACAGCTGCTCAAAAGGAGAGGTCTCAAATTGAATGTTTAACACACCTCAGGGGGTGCACTCACACCCATCTTTCCTTCACAGCACAAGTGGATGCATAGGCTTCTTTACAGATCCTCTATCCCCCCTCCAGGGGACAAACTTACTGTTTTCGGTTGTGTCCAACCACCACTGCGCTGCAAATACAAATAATGAAATAAAATCACCTTAATCTCCATGAAGATATTTCTACTTTATTACCTATTTTCTAGTTCCAGTCTTACTTGTTTTTCCAAGAAATACTTGTCCTTTCTGGCTACAAATAAGTTTCTGCAGTCTTACCCAGTACCTGCAAAGTGGTACTCCCTTCAGATGGACAAGAACAGATGCCTTTCAGCTTGACTTAATCTCACTCAGTTTCTGCAGGTCATCTCTGATCTGCATAGGGGATCACCCGCCCAGCATTCAGGGGTTATTTATATATACTGGCCATTCTTTCACCATAAAGTCAATTAACATATTCAGAGGTCAACATGACAATGCTGTACTACATGAACAAGAGGTGACAAAATCCCCGATCCTGCTTGAGGAACTGACTGAGCTATCCAAAATCAGATTTGCATAAGAAGCCTCTTTTGCAGAAGCCCCAGTTACACTAACTTAATGCTTAAGATCTCCTTTGTGGTGCATCAGTACGACACAGTTTAGGACAAGGACTACATGTTACAGCCCAACTTCTGAGATTAAGGACTTCCTAAGTGAGTTGTCCTTCTCAGAAGCTGAACTGGAGTCACCAGCTATGACAAGCACCATCTGTCCTTGAGATTCCTGTCAATTGTATTCCTTCTCCCTTGGTCAGATGCCTGATGTATGACTTTCTCATACTGCTGTTGCAACAACTCTTGCAAGGAGTGGGAAGATGGAAAGGCACTAGACAAATTATGATTGTCCTGGCAAGGCAAACGCAGTTGCAGATAAGCGTTATGGAATATATTTGATGCCTTAGGTTGGGTCTAGACCAAGACTTAGGACACTCCCTCCAGCCAAACCTCAGCTTTCTACAGCTCATGATCTGGAAGTTAGTTGGCTCACAGACAGACAAGATTCCCAGCAGGAGGCATCTTAACGCTGAGCAAGATCAGGGGAGAAGAGTCCACTAATAAATCAGTTGAATGTGTATTCCCATGTGGGTGTTCACTCATTAAAACTTATTTCTTGAAGATTCATATGAAAGTTATCTTGCAAGTGGACTTTCTCCACGGGCACCCCCTTTCCTCAAGTCATGAGTGAAGGGAAAAAAACCCAAACAAATCCTCAGTGATGTTTTCTGCAATTTTTAACAGAGCACAAACAGAAGTCACCTGAAAGGTTACAAGATTTTTTTTTTTGGACAGTTTAACACCTTGAGAGCCTCATCATACAGCCTTTTACAGAGTAAATGCTCTCTCTGCATCAGTATTTATTCCTACATGTAGAGATCCTTTAAAGAATTGAAGGCAAATCTATTTGTATTTCTGTCACTGTACTCCCAAAACTTATTACTTCAGACCGAATGATTTTTTTTTAAATCCCTTTCACCTACCTTTGCTGTAACATGAGACATTCTTTAACTTTTTATTTCAGGCAGTAAGTATTATTTACAAAAACATCACAGTTTTGGTTTGGTTTTTTTTTTTTTAACAGATTAACTATTCAGTGATACTGACTCAGAGATTGCAGCGGGACTTGGTACTAAGTATAATTGTCTATTTAGAGAGCTCTAAGGTAGAACTGTCATCTGAATACTCCTCATAAATGAAAGGGAAACTTCTACAGCATTACTGAAGCCATTTCCTCAAGAGATACACTGAACAGATACCTTCAGTTCGACTCATACCTTTGCCACCATGCAAGGTGCTTTTCTACTGTAGCTTTCCCCTCAGAATATCAAGGCCTTCAAAAGAAGAAAAGAAAAAAGAAGCGCCTGCAGATGGAGAACAGGAACATGCAGTAACACACATGGTCAACACATACTGAAAAGCTTCCAAATCTTGCAAGATAAAAACCTACAGAAAGTTCCTCAGAAGTGTTTACTTCAATCCACAGACCATATTTCTGTGCTATGCTCATAGTGGATTGGCCCAACAACAAGATCCTGTACCATACATGCTTCCTAATTTTAA